GGATGGACGCCGACCGGAGTCACCTGACCGAGCGCATACTGAAACTCACCCTGGAGATCATCTACCTGCTGACCGGAGAGGTGAGGAGGATTCTGGGAGGTCACATGACATCTCTATTCATAAAAGACAGACCTGACCAGAGAGGTGAGGAGGATTCTGGGAGGTCACATGACATCACTTGTATCTCTATTCATAAAACACACACCTGACCGGAGAGGTGAGGAGGATTCTGGGAGGTCACATGACTTCACTGTTATTGTTTACATAATATAAACAGACAGGAGCACTTCCTGTCTGAATCTGAAGCAGTGGAGGGTGCTTGTGGCCATTCAGCGTTACACTCTCAGTAACCTCCTCCTCCTTTTCTGCTCTCCTCTTCAGAGCTCCTCCGCCTGTTAGCTCTCCTTTGTAGTAGAGCTCCGCCTTCTTTCTTTAGGCTTCCTGGACACACCCAGAGCCACGCCCTCATGGCTCATGCAGTTCCTCTCTCTCGGATCTTCTTGATGTTGAACCCCGCCCACTCCCAGACCATGTGACAGTCAGAGCAGACATATATGTTCCATCTTCTTTATTAGGATTATGGACCCATTAAGAAGAAGTACGATGACCCCCCACCTCCCGCCCTGACCCCGGGGAGCAGCCATGACAACAAGATTCTAGAAGTCACCCAGAAGATCATGGAGCTGCTGACGGGAGAGGTGAGCAGTGCCGGGAATTCTGGGACATGATCCAGGAACAGACAAGGGATGTGTCTGGGTGGTGACTGTATCATTGTGTGTGTCAGGTTCCTATAAGGTGTCAGGATGTCTCTGTCTATTTCTCCATGGAGGAGTGGGAGTATCTAGAAGGACACCGGGATCTCTACAAGGACGTCGTGATGGAGAATGAGCCGCCCCTCACATCACCGGGTAAGAGGAGACTTCCACTTCCTGTAGAGAAGGGGGCGGGATCTGCAGCTGGACATGATTGGTGATTGTGTCTTTCCTACAGTTACACAGGAAAACGAAACCACGCCAGAGCGATGTCCCGGCCCTAATTGTTCTCCTCATATTAAGAAAGAAGACAATTTGCAGGGAATTCAGGTAAGCTGTGGAAATTGTGTACAGTTTTTTTTTATAGATTCTCTACAGTAAAAGCAGTGCAGGTTCTCTATGCTAAAGGCAGTGCAGGTTCTCTATGGTAAAAGCAGTGCAGGTTCTCTATGGTAAAGGCAGTGCAGGTTCTCTATGGTAAAAGCAGTGTAGGTTCTCTATAGTAAAAGCAGTGCAGGTTCTCTATGGAAAAAAGCAGTGCAGGTTCTCTATGAAAAAAAGCAGTGCAGGTTCTCTATGAAAAAAGCAGCGCAGGTTCTCTATAGTAAAAGCAGTGCAGGTTCTCTATGGTAAAAGCAGTGCAGGTTATCTTCAGTAGTGATTCTCTACAGTAAGAGCTCATTTGCAGTAATGGCTTTGTAATTTGGATCCTGTCTCTTTGTGTATTTTACCTTCCCCAGCAGGAGGACAGTCTGAACATTATAGTTGTGCCAAAAGTGGAGGAGGACGTGAACGAGGCTTGCCTAATGAGGGTCAAAGAAGAGGAAATTCCTGTGGAGATTGCTCCGAGTGAGTGCTGAGAGGAAATGGCCTTCGGGGTCCGTGTCTGTGTCTGCTGCCAGCACTCAGTGCTCCAGATATACCCCGATAGTGAGAGAGAGAGAGACATTGGGGACTCCTGAGACCTCGGACATGCAGAGAGAGAGACGTTGGGGACTCCTGAGACCTCGGGCATGCAGAGAGAGAGAGAGACGTTGGGGACTCCTGAGACCTCGAGCATGCAGAGAGAGAGAGAGACTTTGGGGACTCCTGAGACCTCGGGCATGCAGAGAGAGAGAGACGTTGGGAACTCCTGAGACTTCGGACATGCAAAGAGGAGAGACGTTGGGCACTCCCGAGACCTTGGACATGCAAAGAGAGAGACGTTGGGGACTCCCGAGACCTCGGACATGCAGAGAGAGAGAGACGTTGGGAACTCCTGAGACCTCGGACATGCAAAGAGGAGAGACGTTGGGCACTCCCGAGACCTTGGACATGCAAAGAGAGAGACGTTGGGGACTCCCGAGACCTCGGACATGCAGAGAGAGAGAGACGTTGGGGACTCCCGAGACCTCGGACATGCAGAGAGAGAGAGGTTGGGGACTCGTGAGACCTCGGACATGCAAGGATTAGCACAACTGGGGGTTGGTTGAGATCACATGACCATCAAACCAGGAAATTGCCAGATCGGCCTAAATCTTTGCCGAGCCGTAGGCAGCGACATACCTGCTGTGGTCTTGGGTTATGTATAAGAGAATACGATGCATAGGAAGGATTGCTCTGACTTCTCTGCTTCTGTTTTCAGCCTACGAGGCGTGCGACATCTCCCCGAATCCCCATGCCGACCAAGCCGACTCGCCGGGCAACCGCAAGCAGTACATCTGTCAGGACTGCGGGAAGGCCTTCACCCGGCTCTCCCACTTCATCATCCACCGGCGGATCCACTCGGGCGAGAAGCCCTTCCAGTGCTCAGAGTGCGGCAAGAGCTTCTCCTGCAACTCGTACCTGGTGAAGCACCAGCGCAGCCACACCGGCGAGCGGCCGTACTGCTGCGGCGAGTGCGGCAAGCAGTTCAACCAGAGCTCCAACCTCTTCAAGCACCAGAAGACCCACACGGGCCACAAGCCCTTCGTGTGCGACCTGTGCGGCAAGTCCTTCACGCAGAAGTCCCACCTGGTCATCCACCAGATCGTCCACACGGGGGAGAAGCGCTTCCCCTGCTCGGAGTGCGGCAAGTGCTTCAGCAACAACGCCCGGCTGGTGGCGCACGTGCGGGTCCACACGGGCGAGAAGCCGTTCGGCTGCCCGTTGTGCGACAAGCGGTTCACGCAGAAGTCCCACCTGGCCAAGCACCACATCGTCCACACGGGGCAGAAGCCGTTCAGCTGCGGCCAGTGCGGGAAGAGCTTCATCAGCAACAGCCACCTGGTCATTCACCAGCGCTCCCATTCCGGGGAGAAGCCGTACTCCTGCGCGCAGTGCGACAAGCGCTTCACCCAGAAGTCCGACCTGGTGCGCCACGAGAAGATCCACGCCGGCGACCGGCCCTTCGCCTGCCCCACCTGCGGCAAGCGGTTCCTGTGTAAGGCCTACCTCGCCCAGCACGAGAGAATCCACGTGGGCAAGGACACGTGACCATCACTGATGCCAAATTTTGTTTGTTGAAGAGAACCAGTCATGAGAGGGGCTGACACAAGAATCTGAACAATAATATTGAGATCATGTGAGAGGTTTTGCTTTCACCCCCTCAAAATCAGCTTTGTCTAAAGGGGACTCCAGAGCTGGCAGTCAGAGCTAGGAATCTCCTTGGCCTGAGAAGGACTCTAGGGCTAGGCATCAGCTTGGACTGAGGAGGACTCTAGGGCTAGGAATCATCTTGGCCTGAGGAGGACTCTAGGGCTAAGAATCAGCTTGGCCTCGGGAGGACACGAGGGCTAGGAATCATCTTGGCCTGAGGAGGACTCTAGGGCTAGGCATCGGCTTGGCCCAGAGGAGGACTCTAGGGCTAGGAATCATCTTGGCCTGAGGAGGACTCTAGGGCTAGGAATCATCTTGGCCTGAGGAGGACTCTAGGGCTAGGAATCATCTTGGCCTGAGGAGGACTCTAGGGCTAGGAATCATCTTGGCCTGAGGAGGACTCTAGGGCTAGGCATCAGCTTGGCCAGAGGAGGACTCTAGGGCTAGGAATCGGCTTGGCCTCAGGAGGACTCTAGGGCTATGATTCGACTTGGCCTGAGGAGGCCTCTAGAGCTAGGACTCTAGGGCTAGGCATCACCTTGGGCTGAGGAGGACTCTAGGGCTAGGAATTTGCTTGGCCCGAGGAGGACTCCAGAGCTAGGAATCACCTTGAGCTGAGGAGGCCTCTAGAGCTAGGCATCGGCTTGGCCCGAGGAGGACTCTAGGGCTAGGAATCAGCGTGTTTCGGGGCCGACTGGAGCTGGAAGTCAGAATAAATTGTAGCCTGGACATTGATTCCTGCGTCAGCCTTGGCAGGACTGGTTCTCTTTGATATAAGCTAGCCCTGTATGTGTTTTTATAAACCTTCTTTCTATGTATAGACTGTCATTATATATGGACTTTAGTAAATCAGCACAGCGACTGTGCTTTACTGTTCCTCCGTCTCACTCTTTGTCTGTCTGTCCGTCCACTTTATGCCCTGCAGAAGCCAATCAAATCCATAACCAAGCATCCATTGGTCCTGATCATACAGGGACACCGCTAGATCTCCTGACCTCTCACCTTTGGGGGTTCTCCATAACTAAAACCCCTATCTTATGTGGATCTGATATATCAATAACCCTCCAATCACATCCATATGTCATCACTCCAGCACTGAAGAACATAAACACACATACAGCAGAAGTTTACTTTCCAGCAGATCCATTGCACCCCGACCGGCACCGGCCCGGTTATGTCCCTATAATGACCACAGCCCTAATTTATTGTACAATAACGGAATTGTGGTGAGACGTCGGCCATTTTGTCGGAGTCTGGGGCGGAGACACGGCGCTGGAGGGAGGAGCCCGGCCTCTAGCGGGCGAGCGTTCAGGGGGATTGAAAAGCTGAGTGGTCTAAGTGGACGTGCGTGCAGCCAATCAGCGGCCGGGAAAGAGGGGGGCGGGCCCGGCTTCCGCTTCTCAGCGCAGCAGGAAGACTCAGAGCGCCGCTGGCCGGGTGAGAGGAGCGCGGACGGGGGCATCGGAGGAGGGGGCGGGGCCCAGAGCGCATGTGTGTCCATAGGGATACATTGTATATACACATAAAGATCAGTATACATTGTATATACATAGAGATCCCATGCTGTGATCACATGATCAGCCTGTGTCATCCTCACGTCAATTCTGCATCTCCTCCCTGGAGATGTGCAGGGGATGGCTGACACCTAACCTCCAGCTCTGTGCAGAGCCAATCACAGGGGGGTGGGGTCTGTACTTTATATTGCCTTTCTGTGTAGATGAATAGAGCAATGTTGCACCTGATCAGATCTATAACCCCTCCCCCTTCTTTCCCTTCAGCCCGGAGGTTCCGGAGTCCCGTCGTCTGTCTGTTCAGCCTCCATCCAACATGGACGAGGATCAGGGCCAACCAGAGGAGCACAGCATGTCCTCGCTGGACCTCCAGGTGGGGGGTGGGGGGGCATATAAGATGCGGCACGTCAGACAGAGCCCCGCCTCCACTTAGAGCTGTGTAGGGGACTCATCTGTGGCCCCTGACATCACCAAAGGGGCCACAAATTATAGAAGACTGTCCTAGACTGAGGACCTGCAGAAGACAATCAGAGACTGGGGACATGAGACTGACCACTTCCAATATGGCCTGCAGGGCTCCAAGGACCACACGCTGAATACACCAAAGGGCCACATGTGGCCCTTGTGCTGGAGAAGACTCAGACGGAAGGGAATGGTCAGAGACCCCGGATTGGAGAGTAGAGACTGGAGATGGGCTGTAGAAGACCATCAGAGACGGGGGCACGTGACTAGTCGAGACCACGACTATTAAAGTCCCTTTACAAACCAGAGCTCCCACTATGGACTATGGGGGTCCAAGGGCCACATGAAAACCCATGTGGCCCTTGTGCTTCAGAAGAATGCCATAAACTGAAGACTTAGTAGAGGAAATGGAGATTCTGGACGAGGTACTGGAGTGGTTGGAGATGTGCTGTAGGAGGCGGTCAGAGACTGGGGACACAGTATGGACTACAGGGGTCCAAGGGCATTGAAAACACCAAAGGGCCACATGTGGCCCCTTTTTGCCATAGACTGAAGACTTCGTAGAGGGAAAGGTCAGAGACTCTGGACGTGCTGCCATTTGGTTGGAGCTGTAGGAGGTCCCGGAAGAAATAGGTGTGAGCTTCTGGACCATCAGAGGAGGCCTGGTGGAGTCTCCTCAACCGTTTCAGGCTTAGAAGAATGGAGTCTTCAGGGGAGGAGCTGGACTAAGAAGTGGAAGGGGCCAAGTCAAAACGCACTCTTACACGCTGTTCTATTGGACCGGTGCCGCCCATTAAATCTTTGACTTGACATTTGCAGGACGAGTTTCAGCCGGTGGTGAAGCTGGAGGAGGAGGAGATCTACGTCCAGATCAAAGAGGAGGAGATCCCCACCCAGATCAGTGCAGGTGGGTGGTAACCTCAGGAGGGTAGACACGCCCCCCCTTGTGGGTAGACACGCCCCCTTGTGACCCCCTTCCCCACACACACAGGGGTCCTTCATACATCTCAGTAGAGGGCGGGGCTTTACTCTTCTCTGTATTCCCAGACCCCGGAGACGCCATGGCCAACCACATGGACGGTCAGTTCGAGGAGCAGACGGCGCCACCGGATACAGACGAGGGAAACCCCGCCCACATGCTGCTAAGTGAGTAGTAAATGCCGAGGGTGCGTCGGGACTAAATATGGGGGCATAAGAGGACCTGTCGCAAGTTGGATATCTCATTCTGTAGCCCGGGGTTGTAAAATGCGTTGAGCTGCGTCTGAAATGCGCCGGTAAAGCATTCAGGAGGGGATTGAATTTAACAGTTGTGCGGCGTTAGTTTTCCAGACCTCCGCCGTCCAATGTGGGCGGAACCTTTACGCGATCCACAGCTTCCTTCCAGGGGGTACATGCATGAGTTGTGATGATGCAGTGGTGGGGGGGTTGGGCATGGGCTAAGCACATCTGCCCAATAGCTAATTTGCATATTGGCTTCTTGTCCAACACTAGTCACATTATGCCCATCAGGAGCTTTGAAGACCTGGAGTTCAGGACGTGAAAAGGGGCAGAGACACATGTAAACAGAAAACCCCCTTGACGCGTTTCGGGGGAAACACCCCCCCACAGGGTTTGGGTGTTCAGGTGGCAAAGATTCGAGGCTTCTTATCTTTGGCGATTGTCCCGCCACTTAGAGCAGCTGAACTCAAGAAGGTGGAGGGTTACCCCCGAAACGCGTCGGCACTTTTGGGTTTTCCTGCCGCGAAACAATTCTGGGTGAACGGGGCGATCCCGTTTCGGGAAGTGCTGCCGGAGCTGCCAATCGGCATTGATATCCCAATGGAATTTTGGTATCCAGCGCCGGGTTTTTACCCGCTTTATGCAAATGAGGGGCATAAGATCCAGCTGGAGGTTTTGGTCAGGTGACCCTTTGACACGCCCTCCCGGGCGCTGACCAATGACGCGCGGTCTTGCTCTCACCCAACAGGGAAGCCACACTCGGGGAGAAGCTCGCGGTGGGACATCAGCCTGGAGCAGCTGATCACCATGGTCCATGAGCGGCCCGAGCTGTGGGACACGGAGTGCCCGCGCTACTCGGACCGCTACCGCAAGAAGAAGGTCTGGGACGAGGTGTGCGAGCAGCTGACCCCGGACTGGGCCATCCTCAGCGACCGGCAGAAAAAGCAGAGAGGTGAGAACCGGCCGGGCCGGTATGTGACACGGGGCAGCGGCTTGTCCTGGCTCCAGAGGAAGGTGAAATAAACCCCGCCCACTTCTGCCAAGGGCATCTGTGGCCTACGGGCCCGAAACAAATACTTCCCAACCCCCACAAGGGTAACGGGGGCGGTTCCATGCATCAAATATTCTTTCACGTTCATAAAAAAAATACTCCAGCCCTTTCTCTTAATACAGTATTACATCACAGGGGAGGACACGCTCCCTTTTACCATAGAGAACCCCTTCCCTATACATAATGGTGTCCTCTTGCCCCTCTTGTCTCTCTTGAATTGCTCTTCCAGCTAAAGACATCCAGACTCGGTGGCGCTCGGCCAGGGACCGGTATCGGAGGGACCTCAACGAGAGCCAAGGGAAGGCACTCACGGGGAACCAGAAGAAGAAACCCTACGTCTTCTTCAAGGACCTCAACTTTCTGAAGAGGAGCATGGAGAGGCGGGAGTAAGTACTTTCATCTGGAGGTGGAGCTCTTGGAGGTGGTCAGATCCTGTGGCCGGGGCCCGTCCTACACCAAGCTGGTGGCACTCCGTCAAAGTCAAATTAGTAGTCCTATCACTGGAGCCATTTTTTAAACTTTATTTTATAGTTTATCCGATTAACCGATTAATCGAACTTAATAATCGGCTAACTAATCGATTTTGAAAATAATCGTTAGCTGCAGCT